GCGCTAGGCTTACCGCACCGTGACGTCACTGCTGGAAGATGGCAGGAGGGAGGGGTTACTATATTTGGGCAAAAATGGCCGCTCCCAGACTCAGTGATCTCAAAGAAAATTATTGGTTTTATTTTTTTACTGATTAAGGCTAAATCAGTTGAATCACCACATACTCCTCTATACTCCTGTGGGGGGTGCTCCAGGAGTATGGAGTCGGGGCCCTTTATTAGGGGCCATCCGTTCTCTGTACAAGCGGAGCAGGAGCCTGGTTCGCATTGCCGGCATTAAGTGGGACCTGTTCCCAGTGCATGTCGGACTCCTCTGTCACCGGTCCTGTTCATAACTTTTATGGACAGGGTTTCTAGGCGCAGCCAAGGACCGGAGGGGGTCTGGTTTGGGGACCAGCGGTCCCTGCTTTTTGCGGATGATGTAGTTCTGCTTGCTCCCTCCTGCCAAGACCTACAGCGTAGACTGTTGTTTGTCTCATCCAGTTCCCAAAAAGCCGACTGCCGATTAAAGAATACCTTCTCCGCAAACAACGAAATTCAATTCTATTCAGTTATATTTCTATAGCGCCAATTCACAACACATGTCATCTCAAGGCTCTCTCCAGTTCACCAGATCATCCAGTCAGGATGATAACAGAAAGGAAGCTCCAGCATAGAGAGAAATATCACTAATATAAACAAACATAAATTCTTGAACGTTATGTGTGCCGCCATTTTTGTTCGCATAACTCCTGCCTTGAGAGCTGTGGTATCGCGGGCCACCGATAGGAGGAGAGTAACCGTGTGATGTGTAAATGGTCCAAAAAGCTTGGCATGGTTAACTGATCCATGCTCCATCTGATCCAGTAGTGGTACGAGTTAATCTTTGCCCCTCTTCCACAGGGCTCAGTCTAAGCAGGTTTTACATGTGTTTGCATTTACAGTTTTTCCAACTTTGTCTAAACGGATCTAAACAGGGCCGACGTGTAAACAGGGCCCGTGAACAAAACACTTTACACTCATTTGTTTAAGGATGTTTTGAATAATTGTAATACTGAATAAATAAATGAATGTACCATTGAATTTTGTAATTAATAATTAAAAGTACCATTGAATTTAATGTTTCCATAGTTTGTAGAGCAGTGGCGCCTACAGAAATGTTTCATGGGGGGGCAGATGGGGCCACCAAAAATTTTGGGGTGGCCATTGAAACTGTAAGCCATACATTCAGTGTTTGAATCTACTAAAAAAACACCTCCTCAGATCTTGGTTAATTGTGTGATGTTTAATGTTACATTGCTGGCAGTGCAGAAAGGGAGGAAATGCTAAACAGATGCTGCTACAGTTTACACTGGCCAGTGGGGTGGCCAGTGTAAGTGCCAGTAAAGTGTATAAAGTTTGCTATATAAGATGATGTATTTTGTGTTTTTTATGTATTCAGTTGTGATTTTGAGAATGTTGAAAAAGCCACTGATTGNTGGGGCCACCAAAAATTTTGGGGTGGCCATTGAAACTGTAAGCCATACATTCAGTGTTTGAATCTACTAAAAAAACACCTCCTCAGATCTTGGTTAATTGTGTGATGTTTAATGTTACATTGCTGGCAGTGCAGAAAGGGAGGAAATGCTAAACAGATGCTGCTACAGTTTACACTGGCCAGTGGGGTGGCCAGTGTAAGTGCCAGTAAAGTGTATAAAGTTTGCTATATAAGATGATGTATTTTGTGTTTTTTATGTATTCAGTTGTGATTTTGAGAATGTTGAAAAAGCCACTGATTGAATAGTGATCATTTGCAAACTTATTATTGAAAATAGGGTTCTTACATTTTCACAATATTTTATATTTCACTTTTATCAAACATTTTCCTTTCACTTCCTATTTTAAATCCAAATCACTTCCGTCTGACATCAATTGCCCAAATGAATTCATGGAAAGTTGATTTCAAGTCATAATTTAAGCTCCTGTTTTCTCTGATGTCGTTCTTGCCTCTCTTTGTTGCAGCTACATATTTATTTCACCAAAATCTTGCTTTGTTAATGATCTTCTGTTTTGAGCAGTTGCCAAAAGGAAACAAGCGCATGAAAGCTTATTTTTACCGCTCTTATGAAGGTAATTTGGTGAGGTGGGACAATCTTCCTGATCAGAATGAATTTGTTTAGTCAAACTTGATGAAGGGAAATTCAAGAACAATACTGAGTTTACATCAAAGGAACTTAGTTGAGTAGTCTACTCTCTATGTTAGAGAGGAACAGAAGTAAAAATGCATTTTACCTGCAGGGAGTAGTCAGCAGATTTCCAGGTACTGTTAGCATTGGGTCAAAGTGAAACCATGCAGTCGAGCGCTCCACAGTTCTTCCTGTTTGCCTCTGAAAGTTACATTACTTCCTGCACTGTGGGAGGGCTCTCTACGGCGCTTTCAAAAGCAGAAACATGACTCAGTGAAAGAGGAAGGGTGTGGCAAAGACAAACAGGCGAGTTATCCTGGCTGACTATCTCTATCATTTTTCTGAATGTCTTGTTTACAAGAATACAGTCATCATCTATTCACTACTTCTATTACAAACCGGTTTAAAACAGCTGCTTCTCCCTGTGAAAGTAATCGCCCCCTGTACACATGAAGTGGTACATTTCAAGACCAATGTTTGTGCATAGATTGCACTAGGACTAATGACACTATGTGAATATATCATGCTACATCATATGCATATTTTGACGTTGCTTAAGGGATGTTTTTCAGCTGCTATAAGTGATAAATGTTTCTTTCTGATGTGCCTTATAATGTGTGTTTTTCACATTTTTGTCTGTATTCTATGTAGATTCTTCTTTTTCTCCACTCTGTCTTTGTACTGATATTGGTGGCTTTTTTATAATTAAAACAAAACTATTCTGATTCTGAGGAGACTGTCTTTGCAAAATTTCAATTATCCACCCATCTATTCATTAAGGGAAGTGTCGGCCTAGTGGTTAGCGTCTACAGCTTGGAATCCAGAGGTTCTGAGTTCGAGCCCCACTCACACAAACTGCCACTCTGGGTTCCTGAGCAAAACCCCCTTAACCCCCGATTGCTCCCTCGGCGCCGCACGATGACAGCCCACTGCTCCCCAAGGGGATGGGTCAAAGGCAGAGGTAAATTTCTCCAATGTGAGATCAGTAATGTTCAATTATTATCCATTTCCAATGAAATCTGTTTTTTCATGTGGTACTGACTCACAACACCCCATTTCAAGGTGCTTTAAAGCAAAAATTCTATGGTGTTACTGGTGTACTATGGCAAGCCAGAAAAAACAAAATTTACCCCTTTTACCACAGGTTTATTTTAAAAAAAAACTGTTTTATAAGTCATAACTCTTTAAAATAAAGATAAATATCAAATTAAAGCAATAATTAAACACCTAAAACAAAATGCTTTTCTGGTAATAGATTGCTTCGCTTTACGTGACTTGACATTCAAGGATGGTAGAAGTGTAGATCCGGCTAATTCATAACAGATCAGTGTTTTGAAAAGCAATTTGATGTTAGTTTTACTGATTTGATCTATCGATATGTCATTTTTTAAATCCATGTTCTATCTACAATACTTTATTCCTCCACAATATGCCACTTGCATGGGAGCGGGTCCACAGAAACAGAAAATTGTATGAATTTGACCAAAAATGGAAGTACAGACAAAATTTCAGCTTTCTTCATCATTACCTACTTGATGATCTGGATTTTGAGTTTACCTCCTTAGTTCTCTAAAAATATAATTATCGCTATTGTTTCGTTCTTGCTACTTTCAACTCTCTGCATAATAGGACGCTTGATGAATCTATTAGCACAGCCTGTTTAGATATGGACATTTTTGCTGGGGTAATATCTGCTGCCTACATTTATTTAGACCCTATAATCAGGCTTAGACTGCTGGAGGACATAGGGACCCCTATTTCATCATTCTGCTTCATTCTATCT